ACACACACACACACACACACACACACACACACACACACACACACACACACACACACACACACACACACACACACACACACACACACACACACACACACACACACACACACACACACGTTTGTTTTTGTGAAAAGTGGGGACATTACATAGGTTTCCATTCATTTTATGCAGCCCAAACCGTATATTATATTGCCCTCACCCCACCCCACTCCTAAACCCAACCATCACAGGAGACTGTGTGCAGCTTTACTCTGATTAAACTCATTCTGTAGGATTTATAAGCATTTTGAGAAATGAGGACGTCACCAATGTCCTCATATTTCACCTCCTTTTTGTAATACCTGTGTCATACCCATGTCATTATACAGATTTGTGTCCTGATATGTCACAAAAACACGTACACACACACACACACACACACACACACACACACACACACACACACACACACGGGCGTTCGGAAATAATCATTAAAGGCAGGAATTCGTGCTTTCAGGATGAGCTCATGGTGGAGAAACGCAGATAAAGCTTCCATTTCTCTGTTCAAACATGAAGAAGGCAGAGGTTTGAGTCCCCGAGGGGCTTCACGATTAATTAAACACAGAACACGACGTGCTTTTGTGTGCGGTGGCTGGAATCAACATCCTATTTATTAGCTCACATATACGTACACGTTATTGCTATTATTTATATAATGGAATGATTCCCAGCTTAGTCACTGAGTGAATCACATGAGAGCTGTCAAAAACATGTCAAAGCATATTAGACTTCACAATCAAACAGCAGGAATTGTATTCTTATTAACTAAAGGAGGGTTGGCCATCATAGAATGAAAATTAACGATTTTAATTTTACTAGACTTGCTATGACGGCTTTTACAGCAATTTTGACTCTTTCTTGAAATTTTTACTTTAAGTCTCACAATTTTAATATTACGTTTGGCAATTTTAACTTTACGTTCCGCAATTTTAACTTTCCTTTTCACAATTTAACTTTATGTTTTGCAATTTTAACTTTACGTTTGGCAATTTAAATTTTACGTTTCGCAATTTTAACTTTCCGTTTCACAATTTTAATATTACGTTTGGCAATTTTAATTTTCTTTTCCGCAATTTTAACTTAACTTTTTCTTAATTTTAACTTTACGTCTGGCAATTTTAGATTAGATTAGATTAGATTCAACTTTATTTTCATTACACATGTACAAGTACAATGCAACGAAATGCAGTTTAGGTCTAACCAGCAGTGCAATAGCAGCAAGTGCAGGATACAGGAATAAGTTATAAAGTGCAGTTAAACTTTACGTTTCACAATTTTAACTTTACGTTTGCAATTCTAACTTTCCGTTTCACAATTTTAACCTTGTGTTTTATGATTTTAACTTTACTTATGCAATTTTAACTTGACTTTTCACAAATGTAACTTTAAATTTGGCAATTTTAACTTTGCGGTTAAAAAATTTTACTTTAACATTTCACAGTTTTAACTTTACGTTCCGCAATTTTAACTTTCCATTTCACAGTTTTAGCTTTCTGTTTTACAATTTAAACTTTCGGTTTCGCAATTTAACCTTTATTTTTTCTCAATTTTTAATTTACGTTCCTCAATTTTAAATTTCTGTTTCGCAATTTTAAATTTCAGTTTCGCAATTTTAATTTTCTGTTTGCAATTTTAACATCACTTTTGCAGTTTTATCTTTACGTATTGCTATTTTAAACATTACTTTTCACAATTGTAACTTTACATTTGTCAATTTTAACTTTACGTTCCGCAATTTTAACTTTCCGTTTCACAATTTTTGCTTTACGTTTCACAATTTCAACTTTCGGTTTCACAATTTTAACGTTATGTTTCTCAATTTTAACTTTACGTTTCTTAATTTTTACTTTCTGTTTCACAATTTTAGCTTTACGTTTCTCAATTTTAACTTTCTATTTCGCAATTTGAACTTTCAGTTTCGGAATTTTAATTTTCTATTTCGCAATTTTAACTACGTTTTGCAATTTTAACTTTAGGTTTCTAAATTTTACCTTTAAGTCTCACAATTTTAGCTTTATGTTTTGCAATTTTAAATTTGTTTGACATTTTTAACTTTACGTTTTGTAATTTTAACCATGTTTTGCAATTCTGATTTACATCTCACTATTTAGGCTTTACATCTCACAACTGTGACTTTTTAAGTCTTGCAATTTTGACTTTCTTGCTAATTTTTACTGTTTTCGCAATTGAAACTTTACATCTCACAATTTTGACTTTTACAATTTTAACTTTACAACTATCAATGTCGTGGTAGCTGGAATCAATTCACTGTTGTTTATTAGCTCACATATATGTCCACATATTTTTTATATCATGAAACATTCTCAAATGAAGCAGTGAATCACATGAGAGCTGTCAAAAACATGTCAAATCATACTTCACTTCACAATCAAACAGCAGGAAATTAATTAAACTCTTCAAGGTAATTTAGCCTGAGGAGGCTTGTTAACACTAAACTATC